TAGAAAATTCGGCTCAATTATGGGCTAATAATAAAATATAAGTATAGGCCAAAATGTATTCAAGGAGCCGAAATTTTCGTTAAGCCAAACCGGGATCACCCACTCCCCATCCATAACCATTCCACTCCTGAAAGACCTTGGACAACTAATCAAAATATAATCTATTTATTAAAATAGTACCTATACCTAATTATTAATTAATCAATCAATGTTAAATAAATATTTTATTTCATTATTAATAAAAAATGGTGTCGAGTGGGTCACTGGTTAAATTATTAGGATCTTTAAATTATACAAAATCATTATATGCAAAAAACGATTCTAAGGGATGAGCCGAAACGCCCGTTAGCCTATATTGCTATAAAGTATAAGTAAGAAATGTTATGATATTATTGCTATTAAAATAGGTAACTTTTTTTATTATTAGTAAAAGTGTAAACAGTAGGTTTCATTAATTTTTGACGATAACATTTCATTTGAAATAGGTACAAGATCGATTCAAGTACCCTAATTATATAACATAATAAATTATACTCACCTAATTTAAACATCTAATATTGTACAAATTTTAACTAAAAATATCTATAAAAAAAATGTGTTTGGTTATAGTATGAACTAGTTACCTACACCTACTTATGAGAATGAGATGCAGTTTTAAATTGAAAAAAAAAATCGAAAATTTGTCTTAGATATAATAATTAATAATTAAAGAGGTAGCTCAAAAAGAGTCAAAATATTTTGATAAAATTATAAGCTATATCAAGTATGGACATTTATTTTTCTAAGCGCTATTGAAAACTTCTGGGAATTTCTTACTTTTGACTTAAAGTACCTACCAAGTAGTACCAACTATAGATTTATTTTCCTATCAGAAAATATGCTGAAGTAGAAAATCAAAGCATTTTCACTACCCTAAAAAGTAAGAGGTGATGACAGACTCAACAAATTAAGGAGAAAAAATCAATACAGATTGCTCATAATCTTAGTGCTGGGATATATATTTAGCTAATTGTTTTTTATTTATATAATATTATATCAATATTATTTTATTTTACACATTTTTTGTAAAAAAATCATTTTTATCCCTTTTACTTTCACAATAACACATTTTATTCCATTATTTCTAAAACTAGAGTTATTTCACCTCTTATAAAATGTAAAGGTAAGATTATAATCTATGGCATATCGGAGGCTTTTATATTTATTTTTATTAAGAAGCAAGTTATGATCATTTTTAAACTATGCACTTTAAAATGATCATAACTTATTTATAACTATTAATATCAATAATATCAATAAAATCCTTCGAAATGCCTTACATAATAATCTTACCTTTAAATTTTAAATTCACTCTAATTTTAGAAATTACAGAGTAAAATGTGTTATTGACTATTGTGAACGTAATATTTGCTATGTTGTTCGTTTTTAAGACAGAGACAAAAAATTCCCGGGTGTACTCTCAATATATTTAGGTAGGGTACCTATACCGACTATTTCATTTTTATTTTTTCTAGATCCGAACGTTGTGATGAATGTATAGATTTTACAATTATGTGTTTTTTTTATATTTGTGTCTGTATATGCGATAAGTAGTTGAAATAATTCTCCGATTTTCAGTATCTTTTCTTTAGTGGGAAAGTGAATATAATGAATATAATATAGTGTCCCGTGAGCATATCACCATTAGCCGTAGAGGGGAACTCGCGGCCCGGCACCGGTCTAAACAGGTTTTTTGCCGTGTTACCTGTAAACTAAAAATATTATTAAAAATCATGATTAATGAAAATCCAATGTTGAAAAATAAAAATTATATAAAATGGCTATCTTCAATTGTTTCAAATAAATTTATTAATATTAAAAAATAAAACAGATTTATCCGATTTATGATATATTTATTATCTCAGAAGATATCGCAATGGGTAAATCCTTGCGGGACAACCTGTAGTATCATTCGTGGAGTCAAAATTCTTAGTAGTTTTCAAGAGCGCCGAAAAAAAAAAAATTAAGGAAAAACGGAAATTTTTAAGCATAGTTAGTTTTTGACAAAATCGATTTTTGATTTAGGAGTACCTAAATCTAACTTTAAAAAAAATTACTGTATACACATGAAATGTTCACTGAATGTTTATATTATTATATCAGCATTTTCTATACACTATATAATTTTCAAAATATTTTGACCCATGTTAAGCTGTTTGTAGGCATATGAAATTTTCGATTTTTATTAGTTTTTTGTTTTTAATGTCGATAGAAATCTTTTCGCTGGGTCATAAATTTTAAATACGAGGTTCCTTTTTGGCATAAATCTAATATGTACCTAATCATAAATTTGTTTTTTTAATAATTTTCCATGCTTGCAAATAATTTATTGCAAATAAGTCAACAGATATGTCTTATTGTGTCAGAATTAAAATCAAATAATAAATTACTAATTATAAAACAGATAATTTAAACTTGTGTATACAGCATAATTGCTGTTTTAATTTAATTTAACTATACAACTAACTGCAGGTCTTTATCGGTATCTTTGCCATGTCAGTATAACACCAATCATTAATACTTCTAATTAGTCCAATGGACTTCTTGACGATATAGGTTATGGGTATATGACATACCTATCCATAGCAGCAACAACAGTTATTATGAATTATGATTATTAACATTAGTTTTCAGTATTTTGTATAATCACTCACACAACAAATAATAAATCATTATAATTTATAATATAATATTTTATTATTTTATTGCAGCCTGTAAGTCAAATAAATAATATTATTATGCATGGTGTATATATATATGACTATTTAGTATTTAGTACATAAGAAACATACACAAGAGAAATAACATAATAACGTAATGTAATATACATAAGAATACAAAAGACAGTCAGTGAGACACTGACAATGTTTTATAAATTTGGAGCCTAAGGTGCCCCACGATATAAATATAGGCTACTATTTCCGTGGTCCAGCGACCATGGTCAGGCTGACACTGCTCTCAATAGTAGTAAAGAAAAATAATGACAAACCGTTCTCAATCTTCAATCAATATAGGTTCTTTAGTCTGCACTCTGCACATAGCTTTAGAACTATAATTACTGTCACAAAAATTGTTTTTGAAATGTACTATTCCCTTACAGGTACCTACTAACAAATTATATTATATTGCTGTTTATTTACTAACTAAAACTTTTTAATTTTAAAATTACGTGCATTAATTATTAGAGTTGATCGAAGCCTGTGATCGTATAATTATAAATGTAACATGCAATAGAATACTGGACATTTCACACAAATATAAATTAATGTTCACTTTTTTTACAGAATGGATAAATAGTAGTTAGTAAATACTTTATACTATTTTAGTGAAATAATGGCATGTAAACATCAAACAGCTCTTCATGTAATATATGATTTTATTGAACTTTGGTAAAATTATTTTTTTTATTAAATAATATCCATAATATAGTGTAAAATAATGAAGAGTTTAAATTGTTAGTTGTTACTTACATATTATGATTTAATACAAAATATACAGAGAAATATTTGATTATGAATTATAATTAAATTGTTCTGAACTCTTAAAGTTCAATTGAATTAACAACTATTTACACAGATTTGAGATTAGATTATAATTGTGGTATCACTTATCAGAAATATTTTTAAAATAATCGAACATTTTAATCTTTTTTATGTGGCTATCATTTAAAATTTTTTTTAAACACATTATGATGTTAGTTTATAACTAATGTGCAAACATATCTTAGGCAAAGATTAAGTTATGCATTTTTTTTTAGTAATAATTTTCTATTTGGAAACCAGCTTTTCTGTTGATTTAATTTGTACATCTGTAAGTAATGTAGGTACATAATATAGGCTCGTGGGCAACAATTCTATCTTAAATTTTAATGAAAAGGTAAAAAATATATTAATTCTAGTTAATTGTTTACAACACTCTTAAATCATCAGTGTGATAAACCATACATCATTTATACACTATTTAATATTTTCCATATTTAATTATTTATTTCATTGCTTATAATTGTTAGAATTTCAAAATTAAAAAAAATAAAGATAGAAAACTCTAACACTAAACGGTATGTCCTTATGTCGAATATTATATTATATTCAATTTAAGCTACAACCAATGTCAAATTTTAAAATTAGAACTAAATAAAACAGTGGTTTTAAAGTATCAATATCAGTACTTATTTTAGTAGAGATTCATAAAGTATATCACCCCAATAATCAATGAAATACATTAAGTATTTATCATCAATAACAAAAAATATAATTTTTTAAACCAATTTTAATCAATAGAATATAATAATTTCACAACAACGAAAATAAAAAGGTAAAACACCTCAACGAATTCTTTTACAAATTATTATGCTGTCAATCTAAATATACTTGAATTCCCATTTTGAAATATAACAGTAATATTATATCTATCAATAATGTTTATAATAAAATAATAAATACTATTACTACTTATTAAAATGTTTACATGACTTTAATTTAATGGGAATTGAACGACTATTTTCTACATTTTTTACCATATTAAAAAAATACGGCAATAATTTTTTTTTTATTCATAATGGAATGTACAAGGTGAACCAATGAAGAATGAACATAGACGATTTTTGATAATCTACGGTTAAAATATTCATCTGCAACATATTGTAATTTATGTAAATATTAATTAAATGACCATTTCACAGGTTATCATATATTGTTGGCATTAAATCTTTGAACTGACAATTTCATTATTCCTTATTCATTTTAATAATAGAAAGACAGTTTTATTTAGTTGCATAATCATTTGAAGACATATACTTCTTGTTAATAAAATGTATAATACATTATTGATTCTCTTGAAAATGTTAATATTTTTAGAGTCAAGTGCTTTACAAATTAGGCCAACAATATACAAATTAAATATTAGTAATTAAAAGAAATTTGTCAAAAAAAAGCATTAATACTTTTTACTTACACAGAAGTTTATTTTGGACGGGAATCTCTTGGGTAAAACTCGGCTAACGTAGCTGCTGGAACTCTTTTTAACATTTCCTTAGGGAAAATACGTAATAACTGCCATCCAATGTCCAAAGATTCAAATACTGTACGATTTTCATAATTTCCTAATAAAAGAAATAGTGGTATATTATTATCATAATTGCTAATAAAGTTTGTTCATGGTTCTAATTTTTACCTTGGGTGATGAAATTTTTTTCAAATTTAGTCAAAAATTCAAGATATAGAAGATCATCTGGTGTTAATGCCTCTTCTCCCACAACAGCTTTCATTGCTTGTACATCCTTACCAATTGCATAACAAGCATACTAAAAAAATAACATATATTATAAATTAATTTATAGAAATATAATTAAACTAATTCCATACTAAAGTATGAGTGATAAGCTTACCAACTGATTTGACACATCAGAATGATCTTTACGAGTCATTCCTTCACCAATAGCAGATTTCATCAACCTACTAAGGGATGGCAATACATTGATTGGTGGATAGATTTGACGATTATGCAATTGACGATCAACATATATTTGACCTTCGGTAATGTATCCCGTTAAATCGGGAATTGGATGAGTAATATCTAATAATAGTTTTTGAAACATAAATTATTAGTTTTAACTTTAAAAACTGTAATGAATTGTTATGTTACCATCGTTAGGCATAGTTAAAATAGGTATTTGTGTGATAGAACCATTTCTTCCTTCTACACGCCCAGCCCGTTCATAAATTGTAGCTAAATCGGTGTACATGTAACCAGGGAAACCACGACGCCCAGGTACTTCTTCACGAGCAGCAGAAACTTCTCTTAAAGCTTCAGCATATGAGCTCATGTCAGTTAAAATAACTAAGACATGCTTTTCACACTGATAAGCTAAAAATTCAGCAGCAGTTAAAGCAAGACGCGGTGTAATGATACGTTCAATAGTAGGATCATTAGCTAAATTCAAGAACAAACAAACATTCTCCATTGAGCCATTTTCCTAGAAAAAAAAATAAACAAATATATATATAAACCCAAATAAATTTATCTGTTAAATATTTTTAAACTGTATGGATACATCAATGAATAGATTGTTAAAAATGTATTCATCGATGTATCCCCGGAAGACTACAGCTAAAGGCAATGACATAATTAAGGGCCCCCATAATTACTGCAATAGTCATAAACGTTTCTTTAATATCAAACAACATTAAATAATTACTTACAGACTACTGACTTATAGTATAATTCATTTATAATCTTGAATAATGAATTGAATATAAAAAGCAATATACCTTACTGAATTTATAATTTAAAGCTAAAAGTTAGTTTAAAAGTACACTAAAATACCTACAATTAAATTTTCAACAGTTTTACCTCAAAATCTTGTTTGAAGAATCTGGCAGTTTCCATATTAACACCCATAGCAGCAAATACTATAGCAAAATTGTCTTCATGGTCATCAAGAACTGATTTACCAGGTTGTTTAACAAGACCAGCTTGTCTACAAATTTGAGCAGCAATCTAAGTAGTATATCAAAAATATAAATACTAATATTGTATTCAAATATTAAATACTCAATTAAATATATATACCTCATTATGTGGTAAACCTGCAGCCGAAAATATTGGGATTTTTTGTCCACGAGCAATAGAGTTCATGATATCAATAGCTGAAATACCAGTTTGAATCATTTCTTGAGGATATGTTCTGGAATATGGATTAATAGGTTGGCCTTCAATATCCAAATAATCTTCAGCCAAAATAGGAGGTCCTTTATCTATCGGTTTTCCACTGCCATTGAAAACGCGGCCCAACATGTCTTCAGACACTGGTGTACGTAAAATATCTCCAGTAAACTCACAAAGGGTATGCTTAGCATCAATACCCGATGTACCTTCAAATACCTAAAATCATAAGTTTTATTAATCAATTTGCTCTAGACTGAATATTTTCAAGCATAAATATTATATGTACCTGAACCACAGCTTTAGAACCAGACACCTCAAGCACTTTGCCAGATCGAAGTGTACCATCGTGTAATCTCAATTGAACAATTTCAGCATACTTAGGAAATTTAACATCATCCAAGATCACCAAAGGTCCATTTACACCGGAAACGGTTTTATATGCTAAAGAAATTTAATAATTCAAGTTAAAAAATTATCAATATAAAAAACCACGCCCACTAAAAATAGCTATTACATTGAACTATCTAATATCTTTAAAAACGACAATGTTTTAATAAAACGCCTAAACTGTTAAAAAACAAATTTAAATTCGAACAATAAGTGTATTTAAATTAATATTAAAACAAGACTATATTAGTATACTACTTATTACCTAACCTAAGATTATAATAAGTTATACACAAATATTATACAGTCAATAAATTTGAACATAAGAAATAATATTTTTTCAGGTCAATGTTGTACAGTTTATTAATGTACCTAAATCCAATATAAACAGAAGCAGAAAAACTAATTAATTAACAGAGATGTTTAATTGAAGTAGTGACGATTATCTTACAACACACATTGTTGATCATCCAAAAATGTATTATAGGTAGGCAATATTTTATAGGTACTGCCCTGATTACTCCAGGGTTGATTTGAATGTTTAGTTGAGATTAAGTAAGTGAAAAGTGTATTATTTTATTATACAAATATGAATTTTTCAATTTTTGGCACAGACACGCCCTAATTTGAACGGTCATATTATATACTTACTAAGCCTCGGCTGTGAAATAAAATCCCTCGACACAGCCAACACATGTTCCTTATGTGCTTGTTGGGCGTTCATCGTACCAAATGTCAACAGTTTCCAGATCCAAAAGTTTGGAAAAACACGAGAAAACAATCAAGAACCAAGTTCGCTTCTATGGGATCCAGATAGTTATTAGTTGATGCCGATTGTCGTCTGTCGAATGCTGCGACGTGAGATTTTCGCCCATAATAAAGTCAGCTGTTTATTATAGTAATAAGTGTACAAGGCCTTTATCAAAACGATCGTACAGTGAATACCACCTAAGATATTAAACGTATATATGGAAATATTTTATTCTTAAATCGACAATTCCATTGATTTTAAACAAAAATTATTATTGTTATTCATTTCATTATATTATATTTTGCATAGTAATTGGCGTACTTGTTAATTAGAATTTTTTTTTCTTTGAATTTATAATATCGTTTAATGCCTACACTGTACACTATCTTGTGTACCTTACTGCAGCTGAATATTGTGAAAAAGTTATCACAATTCACAAATCACAATAACAATATTCAGATTTATTGTGTATTTGTGTTGTGTTGTGCTTGCAAAATCTTGTTGTGGCGATATTCATCGTAGGCACCTATTCGACCGTAGGTTTATTCAAAAAAATGATTTGAAATCACAAAATTCGTTCTCTGAAAAAAATCGCGTGAACTATAATTTTCAAATGCTCGCCCCGTCACTGGACACCCTAGCTAAAAATATGGAATGTGAAGAACAATCTCCGACCAGTTCGTTGGACATTGTAATAAAATGGAATGGAAACGATTACGATGTAAAAAATTTAAACACAAACAGTGATGTGAAAACGTTAAAAGAAGAGATATTTAAATGTACTGGCGTGCGGCCAGAAAGACAAAAACTTACTAATTTAAGAATTTCAGGTAAATATATACATTATTTTTCTTCAATTAATCAAATTTTCAATATATTACCATTATATACATTGGTGACCATTTGAATATTTGATCGTTGGTGTATCTACATTAATCGAGACATTAATTATGAGGATTCAAATCGTCAAAATAATGGACAATTTCTTGTTTATTATACTCACAATAATGTATAACTAAGTTAAATACTTTATATCTATTCTTATATTATTGTTTTTTATTGGGTAGGTACCTACTACCCAAGTGACCACTTATTTAAAGCAGAGGAATTAGAAATGGGTTCAAAATTTATAGTTTTTTGTTTTAAGTTTGTACGGTTATCATCAATTCTCATGCAGGTATTGAGGTATAATATTATATATTAATATGTATGCAATAACAGAGAATATATAGCATTAGATTGTAAAATTATTTTACACTTGTATTAAATAATAATCTCATCTTATTTTCTTCAATTATTTTGCCATCATCATAATAATTAATAATCATAATTAAAAAAAACCTCGAATGCTACAAATCAGAGTTTTTAAAAATAGTTTACACTTCTGTGTGTTTTTCAATATCAGAAATGTACCTAACTGAAACCTGAGAATTTAAAAAATTAAAAAAACCAATCACAAAACCAAAAAGGTTATAACTAATATTGATTTCTTCCAATTTCATAATAATAAGTGTTTTGTCATACAAACACAGTTTTATATTTGAATTTTTAAATAAAAATTCTGATAATATTATAAAAAATAAATTATAAATGTTTGAAAATTGAAACCCAAACCGAGATTAAAAATGTTAAAAAACGAATCTTTGAACTGAAACAGACCCCTACAAATCGCAAAAACTGTTCTCAAAACCAAATTAGTTTTGATCCTTACTTTAAAGCATGGTTTCTTAAAATTTGTATTTCCAAGTACCATCTACCATTTTAAAATTTTCTCGTAAGTACTATTTGACCAATAATAATCCTTTTTTTTCTTATCAAAATATTTTACCCTAATCCCAGATTGAGAAACACTGCTTTAAGGCAAACAAATTAAACTAAATTCTTAAATTTATGACCTATCCCAGCAGTATTTTACTTGGTGTCTTAATTTAGTTTGAATTTTAAAAGAAAAGGAATGTCCTTACTCCTTACAAATATTTTATTTTCCCCCTCTCTTAAGTCACATAATGCTGGATAATGAATAATCCAATCAGGTTTCATCTTAAGAATAATATCTCACTCTAACCACTATTATAGTATTATCACCTGTTGCTATTATCTTAAAGTTAGCCTCCCTGAAATCAAAAAATTATTTTTTAATAAAACTGATCAAAGATATTATAGACAATCTGAGAACTGAGGAGGGTTTCCTTTAAAGTTTAAATAGTAGTAGTGAAACTACTTAGTTCTATTTTCTAGTCCTTAGTTATTAAATATAGGAATTTATCACTATTACATATTATGTATCTTATTTTACTTGTTAACTCTCTTTTTAACTGTTTATATACTAGTGTCCAGATTCAGTGCCACAACTACACTTTACAGGGCTGGTGTGCAAATCTTAATTTGGGGCTTAAATATTTTTTCAAAAATTAATTTACTTACTGTTAATAAAATATGATAGCAGACGGCAGGCCCTTATTATGGAAGGTTAATATTATAAGGAATATTATGGAAATTATTCAATTGTATAGATAATGGTTGTATAATGGTTATATAATTACATTTATATTGGTTATAAAACATTTGTAACTTATCTAACAATATTGTTTTTCCTCGCTTTTGCATTTGAAAAGTTGTCAATGAGTTTCTCTGTGTCTATCTCGATAGTTCTTCTCCTTCCTGTGTTCAATATGGAAATGCCACTGAGACGTCCTGACTTATAGAATTGCGCTAACATTTTAGGGGGCACGGACCTGCCCCCTTGGGCTAGGTTAGGTTAGGTTAGCACAGCACTTTAACCTGTTAAAGTTGGCTATGTTTTGAAAATGTTACATTTCATAATATGACATAATATGAACATTATAACCAGGGGCGTATTTACATGTTTCCCGCGTGTTATCCTGTGGAAAATTGCTGCCCTAAATAATTAAACTACTATAGTATACATAAAATATTTTACAATAACAGAAAACGTATAAGTATAACCTTAAACAATTTTCAGCCCCTCAACATTTGCCGCTGTAGACTGAAGGCCCCTTGCCTGTATATAAATACCGCACTGATTATAACAGCATATGAAATAGTTTTTGCATGTCTTGCATGGTTTGGAGTTGTCACAATATAGATCAAAATTTTCATTCTCTGAGTCACTATCAAGCTATGGTAGCTATGATTTGTTGGAGATAATAATGAAAGGTCTACTAAAAGTACATTATTATATTGAAAAACATTTTTTATAGGTCCTTCAAATTATTGTTTATAGGTAGTGTATTATAAATGTCAACTGTACATTTTCTCTCCATTTGTACAATAGGTTAATCGGTGCCTTCATAGTCTGCCATTCTCCTTCTTCCTAATTACACCTTTTACCTCAAAATTGTTTTAATTTTGTTCTATTTCACCAATTATTTCAATTATTTACCCTTTTTACAATTTAAAGTTTAAAATTTTAACTCAAACATTAATGAATTACAATATTCTATAAACATTTTTTTTTTATATATAGCTTTATACCAACCTGGCCAAAGTTTGATTCAGGCCATCTGGACATTTCCCACTTCCAGACCGCCCATTCCGTCCCTGGTCGGAATAACCATAAAGTATATCAGAGAATATATTGTATTCTAGACCAGTGTTTCTTAAATTTTTTGAGTTATGCTCTGATATAATTTTGTTATATGCTACTAACACATAGGTACTTTAATTAATTCATTAAATGGCTTTAATTATTTTTAATAATAATGACATTGTTTAAAATTAAATTTAAGGAAAATTTTTATACTTTAACTTGTATGAATCCAAATACCAATAAACGTTATTTTATTAATAATGGATTTCAGTTGTAAAAGTGATATAATATTTCAGTAATTATATTTGCTAACAATTATATTATTAGTTACCTATGTTCCAAGCAATAAAATTATAATTTTCTTTTAGGTAAAATGGCTCCAGATGAATGTTTGTTGAATGCAATAAATATTAAATCAGGTACCAAAATTATGATGGTGGGTTCAAAAGAAGAAGACATTGCAGAAGCTAGTGTGGTTCCTCCTAAAAGAGAAAAAGGCCGAAAATGTAAAAGCTACGATTCAGAAGAGTTTGATGAAGAACGTGTTGATAAAATGGAAATACATTTAGCTAAAGTTCAAAATAGGGTTGATAATTATGAGGTAATCTTAATCATTTTTGATCAAGTATTTTATAAAATAATTGTTGTTTGTTAATAGATTAAAATGCTCAATGATCCTAGACCTGGCAAAAAACTTTTGGTACTTGATATTGATTATACTCTGTTTGATCACAGATCAGCAGCAGAAAGTGGATTAGAACTTATGAGACCATATTTACATGATTTTTTAGAATCTGCCTATGAAGTAAGTTGTTTTGTTTTCACTGTTTTTTTACTCCTTAATATAAAATTTTTTGGTACTAAATAGCAATTTGATTTATCTAGCAATATGATATTGTAATTTGGTCAGCAACTGATATGCGTTGGATAGAACGTAAAATGGCTGTCTTAAATGTAGCCAATAATGCTGCGTACAAAATAATGTTCTACTTAGATAATGCTGCAATGATTACTGTACATACTCCTAAGTATGGAGTGGTTTCTGTAAGTTTAATTATAATTTATGTTATTTGAAATTTATAATTTTTTAACTTGTATATTTTTATATTATCAAAGGTAAAACCATTAGGAGTAATATGGGGTAAGTTTCCAGAAAACTATAATAAACATAATACAATTATGTTTGATGATATTCGTCGAAATTTTTTGATGAACCCAAAAAATGGTCTGAAAATTCGTCCATTTAGAGAGGCCCATCTGAATTGGGAAATGGACAAAGAGTTATTGCATTTGTCTGTGTATTTATATGAAATTGCCAAAATTGATGATTTTTCTAAACTTAATCATAGAAATTGGGAAAAATTCATTAAGAAAGCGCAATACAAAAAAGAAAAACGACATAAAAGAGATAGAACTGACAACAATGAACCTAAACCGCCTGATTCTCAACCGAAATTGTGATGTATCGAATGATAATGTGTATCTATATATGTTTCAAACTAAATAAGAAAATGTATTGTACAGCTAATTTTTTTTTATGATAATTTAATACAATAAATTTAATTTGGCTAATATATTTTACTATGCCTCAAAAGTTTGGAATGGTTACTGAATTTTCACCTTCATATAATGTAATCATCAATATTTTTATAATAGTTTATTTTGTTTGATGTCAAACTTAATTGGTTTATGCCAATGATTGAAAATTGACGAAAGAAAATACCCTTTTGTATGATTTATTACTATTTAGTATTTTACTATTTTACTTCCTTAGACTTATAAGACTTATTACTTAAAGTTTGACACTTAAATCCTTATTATCGTCCAAAATATGCTGGTGTATAATTGTATAAATAAATGTTCAAAAAATAAAAATAACAACAATATACAAATATTGTCTATTTATTTTAAATAGTGTAGTACTATTAATCTAGTGCATTAAATATAGGTACTACAAATTTTATTATTTTTATAAATTAATTTAAAATTGCCTTTATAGGTATCAGGTTAGGCTAGGTTAGGTCCTATTTAGGTCATATTATATCAAATTATAACATTGGGTGTAAAAAACTAGTAAACACATTTAACTTATTATTTAAACACAACATCCTTCTCATTTGTTGATGTTTACGTTACCAAATATTCAATTTCAGTAATTTTTTTCCTTTTTGGCAGACGTGTTGCCAATTCTTTGGAATTTATTTTTTATCAGCAACAGGCTTCATTTTACTAAAGAAATAAATTATATCCGTTTCAAAAGCTCTTGTGATGATAATCAATTGATCTCTATATAGTAGGGTATCCTGCAGGCTGCAACAACAAATTATTTGTATTCTCTGCAATGGTGGTTCTCAACCTGTTTTCGTGTCACCCTTGGTCACTAGTATCCAACACGGTGTCGCCCCATCATCAGTATATTAAACAGTTTACACTATATTTTAGAAGAAAAATATGATCGTCTTTAATTTTAATACATAAAAAGCGGGCAAGTGGATGTCGCTCTGCTGTACAGTAGGTAACAAGTGGGTTACTGTACTGTATTGATTGTTATCTGTTATAATATTTATAACTTATAATTCACAAATCCTTTATGGTTATGATAATAATAGAATATTACTATTTCACATATCTTAAGATTTTAACGTCCCCTACTCCCCTTATAATGTGGATCTCGGGGAGAATGCACCTCTGCCTTGTAATTTTATTGTTTATTTATTTTTATTTACATTTTACTCATTTCCATACTGACATATTGTAAAATGTTATAAATGGATTCACGGTAATAAAAGCTTAAAATTAGTTTGAATATTTTAGATTCTGAGTGAAACGATGAATGTATTGATTTTACAATGATGTGTGTTTTTTTTATTTTTTTTGTGTCTGTGTACACGATAAGTAGTCGAAATAATGCTTCGATTTTCGACTTCAGTATCTTGTTCGATTGGAAAGTGAATATCGTTGGTGCATTGGGGAGGTCAAAATTTAAAATTCACAGTACTTTTCAAATGCGCCAAGAAAAACAAAAGAAAAATTAAGGAAACAGGGAATTTTTACGCAAAATCGATTTTTCAGAAAATTGAATTTGGTTTTTGGTGTAACTTTAAAACAAATTACCGTAGATTCATGAAATTTTCACTGGTTGTTTATATTTGCATTTTCTATACACGATAACATTTTCAAAATATTTTGATTTATTTTGAACTGTTTAGGGACATTTTCATTTTTCATTTTTTTTTAGTTTTTTTTCTAGAAATATCAATAAAATTTTATTTGTTGGTTAAAAAAAGTTGAAAATTTAATAGAAGGCTCCTACTATATTGTTTCAAAGGCAGATGAAAAATATTAAAAATCGTTAGTCAAAGTTTTTTTTAATAAGCATTTAAAGTTCAAAAATTGACAAAATATGGAAAAATCACGAAAATTAGCAAATTATTTTGAGTTGAGATTTCGTAAAAATTCTTCTTTTTAAATCTAAGATTTGAAAATGTAATACAAGATTACTCATAAGTTTGTCTACCTTTATCAATAAAAAAATCTCTACCGGACAGTCAAATTAAATTTTTATGAGCGTTTGAAATTCAAATTTTTACAACATTGGATGTTCACTCGATTTCTCATGTAGCGATTTCCTTATTTTGTTGTAATTCAAAAACAAATAACTGTAGATACATGAAAATTTCACTGAATGTTTATATTAGCATTTCCTATACATCATACAATTTTGAAAATATGTTGACTCTTTTTGAGCTGTTTACGGATATTTTCATTTTTCAATTTTTTTAGTTATTTTTTTAATGTTTTTGAGTTTTAATACTATACATAATTTAATAATTAATTTCATTTTAATTGCATCCTTCTTTCCTTTTCGGAAAACTTGTTTAAAATTTGTCTTAAGTTGTCCATTATGTGTTTTACTGTTGTCAACACTTCTATATTGTTCTATGGTAAAATCGTACCCGGTGTCCTGGTTGTCGGTACCTGCATGCCAGCACGCATACGGCATACATCGGCGGGATATAATAATATATTGATACGTTTGGGAGGCTGGCCGTTAAAATAGCCATCAACTGATCATACGAAAACCGGAAAACGTTCTTACATATTATTAATTTTATTATATTTATAGCTATTACCATTGGTTATAATTTATATAACTAATATAATTTATTATAACAAAGATAACCTAAATATTAAAATATTTTAGGGAGGGCTAAGCCCTCCTAAGCCCCCCTCTATTTACGTCCATGGTACGTATACAATATATTATTAAACCACATCATCGTAATTTAGATAATGATGGTTAACAGGTGTAATTTTTCAAAAAGCTTAATAGTATCGCTTCATAAATATAAAATATTACAATATTAATTATATATTTTATATTGCAGATTTTGCAGGCTAGGTATATACGATGAAATTTAAAACGATGACCGCACAAATGTTGGCAAAGGAAATGTTAACAAGTTCTGTCGCTTGTGGGTGTCGCTGGTAGAACGGTTGCCCGGTAGCCGTGTACGGCGAATTATTATATACGTGTTTCCTGTCAGGATTAAGGGGGGGGGTCTAGACGGGGCGGAAGCCCCTGGGCCCTCTCAAGTACCAAAATGAAAGGGGCCCAAACAATTTTAAGCTGATACACATTTTTCAGTGATTTTAAAGAAAAGTTTTTCTATATTTTAAAAACCATTTTTTTTTATCGACAAAAACAACTAAATAGTAAATACCTACAAAAGCACTATGTGGTAGAAAAGACGAATTCTACTGTTATTTAAAATTAAATTGATATCAATAATATCATCATTAGTTAATAATGTTATTTATGTAGGTACCAAGAGAGCTTTTTCTAAATTAACTAGAGTAAAAAATAAGTATATAGGTAACCAGTTAAACCCAAGAAAACTTAGACATAAAAATCATTTTATATTCTGAGAATGATTTGTTAAAATCATTAGACTTAAATTAAGTACTAAGAGAGTTGGCTTCAAGTAAAGCAAAAAAAAAAAAGGAAATGGTAAAATGGTTTTTGTTTGATATTTGTTGTAAATGAGTATACTGTTAAAGAATTTAAAAGTTATTATGAAAATTTGAATTTAAATTAATGAAATATGAAGTATTGACTTTTATTATACTACAATAAAATGACTCATTTTAAATGAGTAGCTTTATAGACATAAATTACATTTACCTATCAGTTTTATAATTTTATAATTTTATAATGCAATTGTCAATTTGTGAAATAGTTAGAAAAATTTATGTTCCTGCGAGCGTCTTTGTAAAGCATGTTTTGTCAAAAGGGCCCATATGAAATTTCAGCCCCGGGGCCCAATAGGTTCTTAATCCGGCCTTGGTCAGGATCCTACTTAACCGGGCAAACACACGATAATAATACATAATAATAATATTATACTTAAAAATACGATTTACAATCGAACGAAATTGTTCGAATGTTAATTTGACGCTCACAATTCGATGTGATATTTACTACGTTAATAGCAGTCGTGGGTCTCCGCTATAATATACAGCTAATAATAATTATATTATATAATATCTATACAATTATTTTGAATTTAATATGAGTATACGCACAATGTAGACGTTTGCTGAGAAAATCCGTTCATATTAACTTCACTGTAAAAACCAAAATTAATAAAATATTGTAATATAGGTATTATATAACTTGATACACACTACACAGCACGTGTATACAGTATACTACAGTCTACAGTGTACATGGGCGATATAAGACGTGTCGTGCGAGAGTGCGACACCAACTTCTCTTTGTCTAAAAAATGGGGTTGAACAATCATTGGAAATTTGTAATTATGTTGGCAGTGCCCGCGTTACTCTGCTGATATAAATATTATATTATATTATGGTCTCCTCTTTGACAGACATTCTAGGTGTGAGAGTAAAATATTATTTGTGGGTACCCATGTGAAACTTTAAGAGTAGGTATATTATTATATTTTATAAGACGTCTACACAATGACATTTCCAAATGTGATTTTTTGGCAAAAATGTATTTAACCTACTTTAGTAGATACCTACTATAACGTCTAATACTAAAATTAATCACAATAATATCATAAAATATACCTTCTTAGTAATATTATAGGCTGAAAGTCAGTCTTCGATCACAATCGTTTTTCGTATACAATAATGATTTATATCATTGAATTCAAATTTAACACCATCCATCACATTAATCCACTAGGGCCACTTGTAACCAACTGTACTGCAGATCGGCATCCACTTACCCGCTTTTTTAATATTCGTTTTGAGGCTACATTTTGGGGGAGTAAAAATGATTTGATGTTTTACATCAGCATCTTTTCTGATACTTATTGGTACGTCCTATTTGTTACCTACTTTGTGGGGTCAAGAGTAAAAAGTATTACAATTTTTATAATGCCATTGAGTACAGTCGAATGTATAATATACGTAAAAGTGCCAAGTTATAT